CGAGAGACGTGGCCGTTAGTTAGATTCACCAACGCATATATGTCTAATATCTCTGTTTGTGCTCGTGATGACATTATCAATTATTATTTGATTTGATTTGATTATTATTTTATTTAACTCGATTTCACTCGCAATGAGATAGTTAATCTTGCCTGCGTACCTACAGACAAGCGTTCCAGGCGCCTAGACCGAATAATTCTGTCCAATATAACCCTCACCAAAATATAAAAAAGGTTATATGGGACAGAATTATTCGGTCTACCAGGCGCCTAGCCCCCCTGTGCCCGTAACTCTTACGTCATTACATTATTACTTATTATCTAATTGTTTTTAGACTTTTTAAATCTTGATTTCAATTATAATGAGAGTTAATCTTGCCCGCCCCGCACAGACAAGCCATCCAGACGCCTAGCCTCTCCCATTGTGTCTGTAACTCCTACTCACATTATTAACTACAGTATCATCTGATTATTCGACTTTTAAAAACTCTATTTCAATCGTAATAAGAGTCTATCTAATCGTAATCTTGCCTGCCCCACCCACAGACAAGCGTTCCAGGTGCCTAGCCCCTCCCCTCGTGTCCTTAATTTCCTACTTACGATATTAACTACATCCGATTTTATAATTAATTATTAAATTATTATCAAATTTTATTTTTTGGCCGATTTTAAACTGTATTTCAATCGTAGCGAGAGGTTTTATCTAAAATCGTACCTGCGTCCCTACAGTCAGGGATTCCAGACGCCCGCCTCCGTCACCGCCATCCGGCTCGGCTCCACGTTGAAACTGTCCGTCGGCGCAGCACCGTCGCCCTTGAACTTTGACCTCCACGAAGCGACGGCTACCGACAGGAGGGAGTCGCTTCGTGGCATCCTGTTCAGACTCGCAGACACGTGCGCGTCGCTGCGGCAGGAGCGTCACCATGGCGACGACGGTCGCTCGGCGACGTTCGCATCCTCTTCGCGAGGCTGCGATGACTTTGGGATGCTGGCGCACAGGGATGCGAAGAGAGCGGGAAGCAGGAAGCTAGGCGCGGAGGGGATGAGCCTCGTCAACCCTAACAGCAAGAAGCTGAAGCTGACAGGAAAGGGAGCGATGTTCCAGTGATGCTAGATAAGGAGTAGTATGAGGAGTATGAGGAGTAGGAGAGATACTAGAATAGAAGTAGGAGGAGGGGTAGGATGAGGAGCAGAGAAGAGAAGCTATGGCTGTGTGCTGTGAAACTGTAAAGGGAGCGATGTTCCAGTGACGCTAGAGGGAGTAGGAGTAGGATGAGGGGTAGAGTAGTAGTATGAGGAGTAGAGGAGAGATGATAGAGGGAGTAGAAGTAGGAGGAGGGGTAGAGTAGTAGTATGAGGAGTAGAGGAGAGATGCTAGAGGGAGTAGAAGTAGGAGGAGGGGTAGAGTAGTAGTATGAGGAGTAGAGGAGAGATGCTAGAGGGAGTAGAAGTAGGAGTGGTA